TTTACCCAATGATTGATCGTTCAAGTTGTATATTCTTCAGTAAGGTTTTCCATTCCAAACAGGGGCATGTCGCCCCAATTTCTGTTTTGCAAGTATTGTTGGTTTTGTATGACAAGATGCATACCAGCAAATGAATCAAGAAGGGTCTGTATATGACTAACATAAAGATGTTCGTATAATGAGACCCAATTTCCCCAGTGGAATTATTCTTCTTTCCCTAATGGAGCAAGTGTCTTATCTCTCTGGTGAGATGTACAGGAAAATTCTGGTCATAACTTTGTCGTTATCAGTCGTAGAAGATTTTATTGAGGTATCCCCAATGGAGTTTATATCTCGGGATGTTGTTTCTTCCCCAAGTGAGGATCTTTTACCCCCCAACAATGTTATCCCCAGTGCGGCCTGAGTAGAATTATTTTTATTTAAGAATTTATATACTCCCCAATGGAAGTTATCTTCGTCAAGAATTTCTATGCCAGAAATTTCCGTTCCTAGTAAAGCTTTCCTCTTTCCAACAGAGGATAAGAAATTCATTCCCCGTGAAGTAGGGAGTTTGATCAGAATTCAAGTTTTTCTCTGAACTACAATTTCATTTTTGTAGTATTCTCCCCAAGAAGTTACTTCCCCAGTGAGATCAATCGTTTAAACATTGATGATTTCAAATCTCGGTTCCCCATTAAAGTACAAATTGCTCTTTCTCTACAAAAAAATCAGATGTGCAAGAACAATCGTTCGAAAGTTCACTGACTTCTCAACAGCCGATTATTGATATGTTTTCATAATGCATTACTAAACTTGCATCATTACATTGCATCTACTAAAACGCGTAGCATTTCTATTGTATGGAGCATTACGCTAAAAAAAAAATTCAAACATGCATGAGTAAGCCAATTGTGTCCACCTGTGGCAACCAGATTGTTATGCGCTCAGATTTGATTTACCTCCAAAAGAAGCTTAGGGTAATTCTATTATGTTTCCCCAGCAGAGTTTGTTTGGATTCACCACCAGTCGGGTCTTTGGTATTTCTCCATTTCCCCAGTAAGTTTGTGGTTTGCACTTTTCTTTGCAAGCCTTCGGTTATTTTACCCGCGTTTGCTTTGTCGTTAGAGTATGAGTAAGAGTTGGCTTATAACCTTTCTTGATTTTCAAGTGTTTGAGTATCCATACTTGGTGTGTGGTAATTCTGATAATTGCCACTCTTGAAGAATTAACGCCTCGCCTTTGGCCTGAGGGATTTTTGTAATCCTTCTTATCGAAAGCCCAATGTGTTTTGGCAATCTTAGTTAGAGTCTGCTTTGACCAATCTCTTTCTCTTGTAAAGTTCACCTTCTATCAGTGCTCTTTGAAGGTCCTGCTTAGTCGGTTCCTTGTTTTGGTTTATCCGCGTCAGTCGGGTCCTCCTTTCGTTAGCCTAACTAACTTTTTATGATTAAGAGTCTTTCAATATCTCTTCAAATTCCAGTTGTCTGGCTCCCTTGTTTAGACGAATGCGTCCTTTTTATTGGGGCTTTCTTCGGATAGTCTCATTCCTGTGTTCGCTAGCAATTCTAAACATTTATTTCTTGATGATCAACTTTGCTCTAGTGTATCTAACTCTGACCAGATATGCATACCTTTATCATTTGTTGAGAGTCCCCTTCCGCTGGTCTCTTTACGGTTGTAAGTTCGCCTTCGACTGGCGTTCTTTTCTTAGGAATCTATCTTCGGCATAGTATTCCTAGATGAAGATTCCCCTTCAGCTGGTTTCTTTATCCTAAAGTCCACCTTCGGCTGGCATCCTTTAAAATCCACCTTCGGTTGGTATCATTTTGTTGAGAGTCCCCTTGGGCTGGTCTCTTTGCAGTTGTAAGTTCGCCTTCGACTGGCGTTCTTTTCTTAGGAATCTACCTTCGGCATAGTATTCCTGGATGAAGATTCCCCTTCAGCTGGTTTCTTTATCCTAAAGTCCACCTTCGGCTGGCACCCTTTAAAATCCACCTTCGGCTGGTACCATTTGTGAAGATTCCCCTTCGGCTGGTTTCTTTATCCTAAAGTCCACCTTTGGCTGGCATCCTTTAAAATCCCGCTTCGGCTGGCATCTTTCAAAATCCTGCTTCGGCTGGTATCTTTCAAAATCCCGCTTCGGCTGGTATCTTTCAAAATCTCGCTTCGGCTGGTATCTTTCTAAAAAACCCGCTTTGGCTGGTATCATTTGTTAAAATCCATCGTCGATTGGTATCATTTGTCAGGAGTCCCATTTGCTTGGTCTCTTCCCTCAGTAAGTTCACCTTTGATTGGTGTCTCTTTGCAAGAGCTTTCTTCGGTCTGTCTCTTTCTTACATATCTGATACCGACCACGGATATGTATCTTTGGTATCTCTTTTGCGCATATCCGATACCGACCACGGATATGTATCTGTCTCTTTCGTACGTATCCGATACCGACCACTGATATGTATCTGTCTCTTTCGTATGTATCCGATACCGACCACGGATATGTATTTTTGATACCTGTTTTATATGTTGGCTACCAACCCCAGACATATATTCTTGTATCTTTGATGTCTCTGGCATACGTATCTGATACCGACCACGGATATGTATCTTTGATATCTCTTTTGCGCGTATCCGATACCGACCACGGATATGTATTTTTGATACCTGTTTTATATGTCTGCTACCAACCCCAGACACATATTCTTGTATCTTTGATGTCTCTTTTGTGCGTATCCGATACCGACCACGGATATGTATCTTTGATGTCTCTTTTGCGCGTATCCGATACCGACCACGAATATGTATTTTTGATACCTGTTTTATATATCTGCTACCAACCCCAGACACATATTCTTGTATCTTTGATGTCTCTTTTGTGCGTATCCGATACCGACCACGGATATGTATCTTTGATGTCTCTTTTGCGCGTATCCGATACGGACCACGGATATGTATTTTTGATACATGTTTTATATGTTTGCTACCAACCCCAGACATATATTCTTGTATCTTTGATGTCTCTGGCATACGTATCTGATACCGACCACGGATATGTATCTTTGATATCTCTTTTGCGCGTATTCGATACCGACCACGGATATGTATTTTTGATACCTGTTTTATATGTCTGCTACCAACCCCAGACACATATTCTTGTATCTTTGATGTCTCTTTTGTGCGTATCCGATACCGACCACGAATATGTATCTTTGATATCTCTTTTGTGCGTATCCGATACCGACCACGGATATGTATCTTTGATATCTCTTTTGTGCGTATCTGATACCGACCACGGATATGTATCTTTGATGTCTCTTTTGTGCGTATCCGATACCGACCACGGATATGTATCTTTGATATCTCTTTTGTGCGTATCTAATACCGACCACGGATATGTATCTTTTCCATCTCTTCCTTACGTGTCCGATACCGACCACAGATATGTATTTTTGATGTCTCTTTCTTGTATATCCGCTACAAACCCCGGATATGTATTTCTGATATTTTTTCCGTATGTCTGCTACAGACTTCAGGCATATATCTTTTGATATCTTTCTTACAGGTGTTTGTTACTGAATCCCAACAGACGTTCCTTGATAACCAAGTTATTCTGCTGTGTGTCAAACCCTGGTTAAACATACATCTAACCCTGATAACCCCTTTTATCTAGCAAGAAAAAAATAATAAAATACAGAATAAAAACCAAAAATGATACCTGACTGGCTTCGGAGTGCAAATTTTCGGGTTCTTTTAGTATTTAATCTTTTTCTACCTTGAAAGTTCGAAAGGTTGGCGCCAATCTCCCCTTCAGGTTGAAGACGATTAAATAGGGGCAGCTGTTGCACCCCAAAATTTGCCCTCCTAATTTCTTTTACTTTGGCTTAAGCTTTTGCATTCATCTGCATCTATTTCATTAGGTCACTAACATGGCATACATTTCATTCAATATAGCTCTAAGGTTCAAAGTTCAGTGGTTATGCGATACTAGGGTTTCACAGTGGTTAAGGCTCTCGTATCCAATAAAGGATGATTTCTTATCCAGGCAGCAAGCTGTGGATTTAGGGTTCTGGTTCATTCTCATTTTTGGACTTCTTCCCCCTCAAGCAGCAAGGCTATTATTTGCTGATAAACAACAGGTTACGGGTTTGTCTTGTCAAGAACTCAGGGGCGTGACTTAGCATACATGGTCTTTGAATCAATATGTCTCCTCATACAGGTGTGCCTATCATTTGATCAGGCTTAATGACTTTGGCATGGCATTCATCCAATTCAGGCTTTGTTGAATCATGATTCAAGAATCATTGATTGTGAAGCTCGGGTTTTCTTTTGGTTCGAGGTGTTTATCAAACAAGACTGATTCTTCTGGAACATTGAACTGTGAGTTTAGGGTTGTGATTAATGGTTGTTGGGGATTTCTTCTTTATCAAGCTACGAGGTCATCACTGGGCACCTAATACAAGCGGGTTAAGGTTTCGCATTTTGTGTGTGAGTTTGTTGATGTTCATTAATGAGGAATGATTAGAGGATATCCTTCTAAGCTTCAAATTTTATCTTCTTCAAGGATCCCATAAAGATTTTTTTGACAAGACAAAGAACTTGTGGGGTTGAATTGAAAAGTACAAGGCCATTTTTGTTCTCATCATTGTTAGTTTTTGCTCACAATACAAGTCAAGGTGGATTAGTAGTTTTAAGGATATCTTGGTTATACTTCTTCCATATTTCCATCTTCGTTATCAGTTCCTCAAAATATTATATTTGTGTGAGAATGAGCTTCAGTTTTGTTCAATAATTTGATTCAAGCAGAATTGGAAGATTCCAGCGAGACTTCGTGGATGAAAACCAAGTTAACTCTTGTGGACTAAATTATTCCATATTTCGTGATTTAGAGGTTATTTGAAAATTATTGGATATACTTGACATCTAAAGATATTTTAAGATATGAGAAAGCATTTGAGAATTTCATCGGTAGATTATGTTTGCATTGGAACAGAGATTTTAGATTTCATGAACTTGGAATTGCTAGTGCCATGGCGTTGCTGCTCGACCCTGTTGTGTATTCTGCAACAAAGATGTTCCAGGCACATGTAATTTCATTGGTTTCTAAAGTCATTGATTCTGGCTTATCTTCGTCTTCGGGGAATTTGACTCTAGATATAAGCTACTACTTAGCGACATTTCAAAAATCTGTCAGTTTATACTCTAAGCATGTGTCTAGCTTGCAAATGGGTAGTTGTTGCATCGAATTGAGTTGTGCCTATAATAGAACCATGTTTGAGAGAGGTCTTCCAATTTTTGAATCTTATATTCAGGAAGGAACACACACTAAATTAAATCAAGTCTTATCAAAATCAAATAGTTCATTGGACTCTTACGGTTGCAAAATGTCATCTAAAATAAAAGTTGATTTTTTGACTGAGTACATAGAATATATGAAAGGGAGACAATACATATTTGCTGATTCATGCCGAGGTAAGGCTGCCTCAACCTTAGATTACATAATTCATCAAGCTTTTTCTCAAGATGTTGCTGGAGATTTATTGTATTTAAAGAAAAACACTAATGCTGAAGATATTTATCTTCTTGCATCCATATTGAAGTTAATGAGTGTTTCACTGCTACAAGCAATTAAATGTCTAAGTAAGAGTGATGATTCAGGTTGTCTGAAAACCACAGGAAGTTCCTCTATGCATGATGAATATGATTTCTTGAACAGCATCATCAACCCTTTTCAACAATTTAAGTTTTGTTTACCCATTCAGGCCTTGCTGCACAATATGTTGAAAAATCAGCAAACAAACCATGGAAATATTTCATTGAGAGCTTACGTTTGTGTTCAGAACATGAAAATGTACCGGGCAATAAGGCAGTTTTAGAGATGCATTGCATGGTTAAGCTTCAGGAAGCATTGAAGGATACTTGCGACGTGAATTGGGTAGTGGAAGTCGACTATGTAGCTCCTGGTTGCTTTATGTATCTTGTTGAATGGTTACTGCTATTGACATCATGCTTGAAGGGGTCCATTTATGCTACAAAGTCATCTTTCACTTAATGGCTTATTAGCCAAAATGAAAATTCTCTTACAAATCTGAGTTTTATGGCTGTACAATGGAAAGACATGAGCGATGTCCATGATTTCATTGCGAATATCCTCTGTGAGTTCATCTGTGACGAAAATAGTACCAAACTCTGGATAAAAAAATCGAACTTGAATGTGAAGAATCATTTTCCTTCGCTTCTCCTGAGATTGTTTGTTCTGATTTGTCTGCTTCATCTCAGCTCAAGCTTCTAATTCAGTGGAAAGTATTTGCAGTTACTTTGGAGTTTGTTGCGACAGAAAAACACAACCACTCAATTGCCACTCTTGAACCTTAACACCCCGAGCCTCTGCAACCTCGCCATCTTCATCGCTTTAGCATTTTTCATCTTCAATCTCTACTACTGATTCAAAGTCAAATCTTTTCGTTCAATTTTTCTGCACAGATAAAAAAAAAGGGGAAACATCGATGTTATAAGAATGTATCAACACAATAATTTCTGCATTCTCAGTTTCAACGCAACAAAAACACGAGAGCAGGAAAAGTAGAAGAGACAAGATAAAGAAAAAAAAAGTAGAAGGGAAAGTTGTGAAATTGGATCATCCTAATGAATCTAAGGTTATCTCTGTGAATAAGGAAAATAATGTAGCCAAAACAAAGAAAAACCCGCAAACTAATTCAGTAACTAATTTTCCAGCTCATCTCTAACAACCAATCATAAACTACCTTCTAACTGCCTAACCAATTTCTAATTAACTCAGTCAACTGCCCTAACTGAATTCTAGCATTTTTTTAACTAACTTTCACAAACTAACAATCCAATGACATAACCTTCAGCTTGCCAAGTAACAATTTCTAACAAATTCTAACAAACTTCTAACTTCCTAATTGCTAACAAAATCCATAACCAACCCATAGCATATTTGCAACAGAAAGCCTTGCACATAACAAACTAACTACTAACTGCAAACAGAATTTCAATACAACTAACTTGTAACCATAACAAACTTTTCTAACTGCTTTCTAACAGGTTTACTAACTTCCTAACCGCTTAACTAACTCTTAATCAACTCACAACAATCTATATAACAGAATTTCAGATTCATTATTTTCTGAACTCATACATAATAGATTTAACTATAGAAACTTACCAATTCACATTGATTCTGGAACTTGCAGAAGAATCACATAAAAAAAAATTATCTCTTCTCCTCTCATCTTCATTCTTCAATTCTGCAAAATGAACATTCAACCTTCTCTCTGCTCCTCTAACCTTCATTATTCAACTGGAAGAAGAACCACACAATTCTCTCTTCTCTTTTCATCTTCATTTCTTCAATCGGTGGAAGAATCTCCATCATAAAAATCCAGAAAAACTCTCAGTTCTCTCTCTGCTTCAAGCATAATCTTCATCTTCTCTCATTTGTTCTTGATTTCTGAGAAGGATCTTTAAACTCCAAAATCCTTAAGGCTCTCTGCAAAATGTATTCATCATCATCACTACCAACCTTCAATCTTCCACAACCTGATATCGTCATCTTCATCACTGCACCATCAATCTACAAATCACATATTAAACAACATCATCATTTCTCTGCAGAATTTATGTAAATCGTAACACAACAACAACATCTCACGCATCGTAACAGATAAACAATAAAAATCGCAAAAGAAGAATCAAAGACATACAGAAGAAGAAGAATAGAGTGAAGAATTTACCTCTAGACTTCTCATCTTCGCCGCTATGGAAGAGTCACCGGAGTTCTCCGGTCGATAAGTCTCATCCATTCCATTAGGCATTTTCAGTTTTGTGTTTGAAAGCATTAATCAAGAGCTTATAAATCATCACCGAGACCGCGAGTAAAATAAGACAGAGGTGTTCACCGTGACGGTGAAGTTGATTAGTGAAGAGGTATCAAATAAGGCGGAGGCTTGAGTTTGGTCGGTGTTGTGTTAGAGAAGAGCACGACTAAAGCGAAGATGATAGAAGGTTGAGCCGCATCAGAGAAGAAGAAGAGGACCGACGACGATGAAGAGTGAGGTGGAGGAAGCATCGAGCGAAGAAGATGAAGAGGGGTATCGCTCCGCCGTTAACGGACGAAGAGGATAACTCCTCTAACCCTAAAGTCACATTCTAATTCCCTTTCAATTTTCTTTTCTTTTTTTTTCTTTTCTTTATTTTATTAGTTATTGATTCCTAGTAAAAAAAATTAATTAAAGAAAAAAAAAAACATAAACTTTAATTGTTGTTGATAGTCACCGGGCTGGACTGCATTGCCTTGAGCCCATATGCATTTTTGGTAGAATTGCCTTGCTAGACAGAATTGATATTGGACCTTTTTTTTTTGGGCCTAGCACCCTGATGTCAATACTACACCCCTTGTCCTCATAATCTTTAGGGTTTTATCTTTGTATATAATTTTGTCTATTTTTTTTATGGTAAAAATTCAAAAATCCATAAAAACTTGTTAGTTTTGATTTAGAAATTAATTCTTGTTTGTTTGGTAGAATTTTCTCTATAAAATAAATAATAATAATAAAAAGTGGCAGTATATAATAGAATTTTTCTAGAATTTCTTTTTTTAGAATTTTCTATTAGTGTTTATGTTTAATAATCATTGTCATTTTCATTTTTTTAGCCAAGATTTTTGTGATAGCATCGATGTAATTCTTGCAATGTGGAATGCTCGGGGTTAATTCTTTGATCGCTCGTTCAAGGAAGATTTGGTAGAATTCTCTTACCGCTTGCACAGTTTCGAAGAGGCAACGGACCTTCTCCGTTCGGTATCGTCACAACCCTATTTTATTCTTCATTTTCGTACTTTACCGCAATCCATGTGCATGCTAACATTAGGTGGATGTTTCCCCTTCATTCTAACCTTAAGACTATTAATGCACAATAACATTAGGTTTAGAAATAGACTAGCCTCCCTGTGACTTTTCTTTCCCTTTTGCATTCGCACTAAAACTAAAACTTCTTTTTTTTCTTTTCAAACTTCAAAATACTAAAATTTACTGACGAGAATCATGTCTTCGTTAAGTATGTGAGACGATAAGCGGGTCTTTTCTCGACCTTATTATTCTCTTATTCTAGGCTTCGGCATGGTTCAAGTCTCAAAGAATCATTTCACGAATAAGTAGAGACATGGCTAAAATCTCTCCCTTGAGATTAACTAGTTATTCTCTACAAACAAAAAACACCAACAAACATAAAATTCTTTTTGTCTTCGGGCCTTCCTTTCAAAAAACCTTTTTCAAAAGAGCATATTAATTCACTTCTGTGCTAACACGTAAATCTCCAAAAGTCGAGTTGCGGCAGAAGGCGAAATTAATATCATTCATTCAAAAACAAACAAATTCAAAACTTTTGTGCGCCCAGGCACATTTTCTCCAAACCTTTTCCGAAAGAGCATATTAATTCACTTTTGTGCTGACGCGTAAATCTCCAAAGGGTCGAGTTGCGGCAGAAGGCGAAATTAATATTGTTCATTCAAAAACAAACAAGTTCAAACCTTTTTTGTGCCCCCAGGCACATTCCTTTCTTTCAAACCCTTTTCAGAAGACCATGTTAATTCACTTCTGTGCTGACGCGTAAGTCTCCAACGGTCGAGTTGCGGCAGAAGGCGAAATTAATGTTGTTCATTAAAAAAAATACCAACCAAAAAAAACATATAAGCCGAACTACGACTGCTCTAATTCTTTAAAAGGGATACGTAGGCATCGGGGTAGGGCCCGAACGAGCACAACTTTTATTTTCCCTACATTTTCCCCCTTTCTTTCGCATGCATTCTCCTTTAGCAATAATAAACAGTAAGCATAGATTGAACACACCCATAAGATAGACAACAAGAGTGGATACCGTAGAGTACTACGGGCGTGTGGGGTGCTAATACCTTCCCCTCGCGTAAATGACTCCCTTACCCTTATCTCTCGGTCGCAAGACCTTGATTTCATCCTTCTAGGGTTTTCTCGATGTTTACCTTTCCCTACCTTTGGGATAAAAGACGTTCGATGGCGACTTCATTGTTTGATGATTTTCAGCCGGTTGTTTCACTTACCTCGAAGGTGCACTTGTTCGGGTTCAACCTCAGCTTGTACGTCTTCAACCTGTCGAACAGTTTCTGGAGATGGTCAAGGTGGTCTTCCTCAGTCTGGGACCTTGTGATCATGTCATAAACATAAACCTCGATCTCATGGTGAATCATGTCTTGGAACAAAGCGACCATGGCGCGCTGGTAAGTTGCCCCAGCATTCTTCAACCCAAAAGGCATTACCTTGTAACAGAAGGTGCCCCACTGTGTAACGAAGGTTGTCTTCTCTATGTCTTCGGGAGCCATCTTGATATGATTGTAACCGGAAAAACCATCCATGAAGGAGAAGATCTTAAGTTGCACGGTGTTGTCGACCAAAACATAGATGTGAGGAAGTGGAAGTCATCATTGGGGCTTGCCCTATTCAGATCTCTATAGTCCACACACATCCGTACCTTACCATCTTTCTTAGGTACCAGAACAACATTGGGAACCCACTGCAGATAAGAAGTGACAGCTAAAAATCCTGCATCGAACTGTTTCATGACCTCAGCTTTGATTTTCTCAGACATCTCAGGGCGCATACGACGAACCTTCTGCTTTACCGGGGGACAATCTTCTTTAGTTGGTAGGCAATGTACCATAATATCAGTGTCCAAACCAAGAATATCTTCATAAGACCAAGCGAAGATCTCAACATATTCGCGTAGCATCTGTATCAACCTCTGCTTGACACTAGGCTCCAGATTCGCACCTATTTTAACCTCCTTCCTGTCTTCCTCTGTACCCAAATTTATTGATTCAACTGGCTCTTCATGGGGATGTATGGCCCTTTCGTCCTGTAGTAGAAGTGTAGCAAGTTCTCTAGGAACCTCACAATCATCCTCACCTTCGTCCTCAACTTGGTTGACCGGATTTTCAAAGTCATAACTGGCAGTAGCAGAGTTGTTATGAATGGGATCCAGAGTGGATATGGATCTGCA